TTATCTGTAGTTAGTTACACGAATTCAGTTATGGGATGAAATTGGATAGAGATGAAATTGTTTAAGGATGAACGGGTTTAAGAGTTTTAAGAGTTTTTAAGAGTTTTTAGCCAAATGCTTTATAATATAGTATAGATATATTTTCGTTTTTTTTTATGTATAAAATATTCGGAATGTTTGTTTCACATGTAGTGTTTCATATATGAAATTATACATAAAAACTGGTTTATAAATTTGTAATATTTATTGAGTCTGTATTTGATTTGCGCTATATTCGATTTTGCATTATTAATTCCTTTATAATTGTATTTCTTGATCTCATAGACACAATGATTGTGGTGTAACTTTGTATCTTTTATCTGTATTTTTCAAGCTCATTTTTGTAGTAATTTATCGTTAATTCATAACTATTTTCATCATTTATCTATCATCAGGCTTTTTTTATTGGCACAGTGTGTCGGTATATCTGAGATATGACTCCATGTAACATAATGATCGGATATGCAGCACTCATGATACAATTGACGAATAAAACACTATTTGGAACCTTATAGATTTTACCATATCTAGAGTGTGGCTTTATGTTTTATCTATATGACCTGTATTTTTATTGAAGTTTATTCAAATATTAAATTTGGTTTTTTTAATTAGCATATTAAATATAGTGTATATTTATACACTATATTTAATTATACAACCAACGAAAACTTACATTAAAAATTAATTAATACTGAAATTAAACACCATATAAAACTCAATAATAATGGAAAAACATAGATGAAGCATGAGATTGTTTGTTTATCTCTTATAGTTCCATTAAGAGGCAACATCTGAATCTTTAAGAGGCGAATCTTGTTTAGCAAAAAAAATATGTCTTTTAATGTAAGCAATTACCAAACAATTTTATTACATTTTGCATTATATCATAGAAGTCTCTTAATCATTCTGACCACTTAATGATTCTACATAAAACCATTCAGCAACTGGCAAACAACCCAAAGTAGACCTAACTAAACCAAACTAATACATATAAATTAAGTGATAGAGGTAAACAAAAAAATTGATATTGTATGCAATTATAGGAGTCTTAAGTGTTAGATAGACTTCACAATATTCTACCTAAAATTGTGTCAAAAGCTACGGACCAATAAGAAATAGACAAATGTACAAGTTTAATACCATTGGATTTCCAATATTTAATGTTTCACAGTAGAAAATAATGAATGAAATTAAACGAGAAATCAATAGGATTTATGTCTTTTAATAAATAACTAGAAGCGTACTCGTGCAATTCAACGAAATAAATCGTGATTTTAATATTTTATTTTATTTTTTATCTCAGTCGATGTTATAATATGGCTTTATGTGATTTTAAGAAAACGATAATGTTTTTATTTTTGAATAAAATATATGTTTGAAAATATCATAAAAATTGACAAAAATATATCGATATTAGTATCAAATTAACTATTTGAAATTTCTTATTTTTTTGTGTAATTTTTTAATTCAATTTTTTTATAATTTAATTTATGTACAATAACGAAGTAATTTATATTTGGTTTAATAATATAATTTTTT